GCCTCCGGCTACTGCTGGGGAGGAGGAGCGCCCAGGGACGACCAGCCCCGAGCAGGCAGGAAGTGACAGGGCTGGGGATTGGGGGACGTTGAGAGGAAGAGTTCTGCTCCGTCCGAGTTCTTCTGGGAGGGAAGGAGGAGAATCCCCCAGAAAGTCGAGGGCTTCAACTTCGAGGTGTTATTGGCTGGGGCAGCAGAGAGTGCCTTAAAGTGCAATTTACTCAACTTACAGACCCTCTGACTGGAGCCTTGGCAAACTGCACAAAGGTTTTTCTCGGCGTGGAAACTATGCCACCCACTCCGGCCTGTCTCGCAGGACCTCCAATTTGTTCAAGGAATGCAGGACATTCTACATCTCTGGGCGTTTGGTATTAGCAAAAAATAAATAAATAAATAAATAAAAGTGGATGTGGTTAGTCACACACCTGAGACAGGAAATCTGCTTAAAGCAAAGGAGTTAAATGGTAAAACATCTATTAGAGCAATTAAGGGGGGGTACCTCTGAAAAGGACTGCTTTAATAAACAGCGTGGTTAGGGTGATCTCCGTGATAAACCCTGTGGCCTGCCTGTCCACAGCTGGGATTAGAAAAACCTCAGGCCCCTCCCTCTCAAAATGGGTGGTTCTGATTACCAGGGTGAGTCAGAGTTTCCTTCTGCGTAGCGTGGGGTATTGGAAGAGATACTGGGCTAGGTGATGTAGCTCAGTGTGCTACTGCGCTGTATGTATATTGTGTGTGCAAAGTCTGTATACTCTAAAGCAACAATTGTTAACTATAATACCATTAATCATGGCCACTTTAGTAGAAACTGTTGTGTTCTTCTAGTCTGTGGAAGACATCAGTGAACTTGTAGATTAGAGTCTCCCCCAAGTGTTCTAGATCACTAAACAAAAAACAGTTGTTCGAACAAAGGAAAGCAGACCCTAAATTTAGCTATCCTCACATAATTTTATACAAGACATAATGTGTATAAAGCTGTAGTTAGGAAGGGACAGCCTGTTTAATGAAGTCATGCTGAAACTTATCTGCTTATATTACTTCCAATTCCCAGTCCTTGTTAAGGATTAGCCTCTTCTTCTGGAAGAGCCTTCAACTTCCAAATTTCTTTAATCTGTCCTTGAAGACTTCTTTTAACCCCCAACTGTGGATACTCCGTATTTAGGAGAGGCTGCTTGCCAAACTCAGAAACAACTGAAATGTATTTGAAATAGGTAAGTTCAAAAGAAACATGTGTTATACTCATACAATCCAGTACTTAACAATAAAAAGGAATGTACTACTGAGACATTCTCAAAGCATTGTATAACATTCTGGAAAAGGTAAAACTACAGGCATAGAAAACAGATCAGGAGTTGCTAGGAAATGTGTGTCCAGGACATATAGGCATATGGGAGCTGTAGAACTGTCCTACGGGGTGGAGGTTGCACAGCTGTGTTTGTCAGAAACTTACAAACTATTGGCTATGACAGGTTTATTCTAAATAAAGTCTCAATAAATCTGATTTTTTAAACCTTAGTTTTTGTGGCCGGGAATTTAGCTCAGTGGTTCAGTGGTAACAAAAAAAAAACCTTAGTTTTTGTTTTCTTGTTTTTGTTTCTGTTTTTTGAGGAATCTTGTATGACTTCCATAGTGGTTGTATTACTCTACATTCCCACCAACAACCTAAAAGGATTCCTTTTCGCCCACACCCTCAAGTTTCTTTTTTTTTTAAGTCCTTGATAATAGCTATTCTTACTTAAGTAAGATGGATTGTCACTGTTGTTTTGATTTATATTTCTCTGATAACCAAAAATGCTAAATATTTTTTCATGTACTTAGGGGCCATTTTTACTTCTTTTGAGAAGTGTATATTCATTTTAATTCCTTGCTTTTTGATTGGGTCTTTTTAAGTGAAATAAGTCAGACACAGAAGTTAAATGTCACATGATTTCTCTAATAGGAAAAGCTTTTCCTGGCTCCTCTCTTCGCTCTTCTCTGCTTCTCTGCCACTATCACTATGTTGTGAGCAGCTCTCCTCTGCCATGGCATCCCACCTTGGAGCCAACTGTGGACTGAAACCCCCACAAACTATGAACGAAAATGAACCTCTCCTCTTTTATTTTGCAGGTGTTGGGCACGGTGTTCCAATGATGAAGAAAGTGACTAAAATAGACTTTGGTATTAAGAGTGGGGTTGTTGCTGCTCCTGCCTGACCATGTGGTTCAGAAGCTGAAGTAGTTTGCAGGTGGAGTTTGCAAAAATTTGGAGATGCCTACTGGAGAAGCAGCTCTAGAATGCTGTGAATCCAGCTTTATGAGAGATTTTGGTCAGAGATCAGAAAACCAAAACCCAGACATTAAAGACCAATCTCAGGAATTTTCCCCTGAGAACAAGGACTCCATTGGCAGTTTGAATCCAGACTATGTGTGTTATGCTCTGGAAGAAAATGTGTCTATATTTTGCTCATGTCCTGAGACTTTGTGAGAGTCTGAGATTAAGAGTGGCAGACTAGGGCTGCAGACATAGCTCAGTGGCATCACACCTGTCTCACAAGCACAAGGTCCTGAGTTCAGTCCCTGGTTTAAAAAAAAAAAAGAGTGGCACGCTAACCTGCTAGAGAAAAATTTACAGAAATATTCCACTTTAGAACTTTCAGTGTTATCCTCCCACAGTGACTGGATGAAAGACAACCACAGGGGACAGACAAGGAGAGGTGTGGGCTAGACATAGACTCCCACAGAAGTTTAAACTCAGGACAGGGAGGAAGTGGACCCTGCCCACTCTGTAATGAGAAATCAGGCCTGGTGAGTGTCGCTTTCAGGAGAAGCTGGATTTGAAACTGTTGGCATGAAATCTAAGAGTCTGCTTGAAGTTCTGACCTGTGTTCTACACATCTATCAATCCTTTTCTCAACTACCAATGTGAGCAAGAATATCCCTCAGATTGAATGGTTGCCACATTCTGGGGTGTATAGACAGGTGATTCTGGAGCAGGGAAGGTACTTCACAAACCCACACACTGTAAAGCTAGGCAGAGAAATTGTGACTTGCTGGATTCCAAGACTACAGATACTGGAAAGAAACCACTCATTCAAAAACACAGCAGAATTCCTTTTTTTAATTTACTCATTTTTTAATCTCCTTTTTCTTTCATTGGTTTGGGGGCAGGGGGTTGGAGGAATTTTTTTTTTTCTCCTTTTGTTCTCTTTTTATTTTTTCCTTTATTTTTCTCTTTCTTCTTTTTGTTCTTTTCTGTTACTGTTATCTAGCACTATTCATTTCCTTCTACTCCTCAATATGATCCCCTATCTCACTTTTCTCTCCTCCTCTTCTATTAATTTCTCAAATTTTACTTTTCTCATTCTCCAGTTCCCTAGTGCCTCTCTCTTTACTGATGTAACCATTAATTTTATTACTCTTTAGATAGTTAATCCTGTGATATTACCATTGAATATTGTTCTATTGTTAGAGGAGGTAAAGTTCCATTTAGTGTTTACTGTAGGTCAATTTTTTGTCTTGGTGTTTATATAATTATATATCTCTTTTCTATGGTTAAGGGTGGTACATTATTGGTTCGTAGGGTATGTCAATATCTAGCTTGTCTTTGATGTTATTATTATGGCTGAATTTATTACTGTAGCCAAGATGACATATTGTTGCTATTAATTGGTATTCTCCGTATCCCAATTATCTATATTGCCTTTTTATCATTGTTGTGGAAGAAATTGGTAAGTGACACACACATAGAGATGCAGAATGGAAGTAAAATAATAAAAGGTTTATTTTGCCAGCAAAAGGTCAATTGCACTAAGAGCAGTGCCAGTGATTGACCCCAACTGGGTTGCAGCTTTTTCTTTCGATCCCCAGAACAAGCAAACAAACAAAAAAAAACAGACATGGAATAAAATAATCTGTTTACTGAAATCATAATAAACTTTCCAACTATGAGGAAAGATTTCAACACAGAGATAAGTGAGGCTTATAGAACAACAACAATATACAATGAAAAAAGAAGCTTCCCACAACATACCTCATACTTTCTTTTTTTTTTTTTTTTTTTTTTTTTTTTTTTTGGTAATGGAGATTGAACTCAGGACATTTCACTTATGAGGTAGGCAGTGGAACCACTGAGCTAAATCCCTGGCCCTCCCCACAACATATCTTAGTCCAAATCCCAGGTCTTTAAAAAAACAAAAACAAAAAAATCCCCCCCAAAAAAGAACCCTAAATGCCGTCAGAGAAAAGCAAAAAAATCAAATGTAAAAAATAAATTCATTAGGATTACAGCAGACTTCTCAATACAAACTTTAAAGGCCAGGAAAGCCTGGAGTGAAATATTTTAAGCCCTAAATGAAAACATCTTCCAACCCCCACTTACAAATACTGCAAAATTACTTTCCAAAATTGATGGAAAAATAAGGTGTTTTAATGATAGAAAGCACCTAAGAATTTCATGATCACCAAAGCAATGCTCAAAAAAATTCTCAGGTATATCACAGAAAGAGAC